CGCATGTAATTTTCCATTAATATCGCGTGTAAAAACGGTAGAATAAGATTCTTTTATGCAACACGTGCATGGAAAGTGCCCCATTACGCACGCTACGCGTGCGTGATAAACCACTTTCCAGGCACTTGCCACATAAAATAGGGATGTAAGTCGTGTGTAAAGATAAAAATTCCCGGGTGTGGTTACCGCACGAGCCGAAGGCGAGTTTAATTAGGTAACTAAAGAACATTTAGATGGTCCTGTGTTCTACTGCTAAATCCTCCCAACATCTCTATCTCTATATTTGCGCTTCAAGACGCCCATAATATGTTTATCAACGACGTTACCGGATGCAGTAATCGGAATTGTGTTACGCTCATGTGGATAATACCGTGGAGTTAGCATCGACGAATTTTGCGGGTAGCTCGAGCTTCGCGTTTCAGAAAACTTTATACGTTATTTAAAAAATATTATTTGATATGAGATTACTATATTATGTAAATAAGTGGTCAAGATGTAATAAAAAATGCAGTCAACATGTTCGCTCTCCAAGATATTTTGTGAGAGTATGGATCTCGTATCGTCAATGTGACTGTTGCCTTAATTCGGTAAATAGAAATTAAAATTGATTAAAAACTTTGTTTGTTTTGATTGTTTTAAAAACTTTGATTTATTGTTATTGAAAGCTTTATTCTTGATTTTATATCTTTAGATACAATCATCGATAATTTATCATAGTGGTAAAAAAAGTTATCTATGTTTCTATAGCAAATATCGTGGGACGATTTATATAATAACCTTGCCAACGAGTATACTGTGATAGTTCTCGATTGGACATATAAGATTAATCAAGGTGCAACGAAAATGCCAGGGCAAGATCGGTTCTTTGTGTTCACTATATTTTTGGTAGTTGTGCTTTCTATTTTTCATTCAGGTACGTAATATAAATTTTCGGCAATTTATTTGTTAACAATTTTATAGATAACAATAGTAAAATATTTTGTAAAAAGTTAATTTATAAGAATTTTTGCTACTGTAAATTTTTGATATTATATGTTAATACAATTTAAAATTTTAGGTCCTTAGTAATTTTTTTATATAATAAAATTAGTCTAAAGAATGTGGATTAATTAACAGTTGCTATAGATTACGCAATGTTAATATTAAAAATTGAGGCATTAAATAATTCTAATATCTAATAATTACATAATCAAAAAATTTGTTTCACCGTATAGTTACAGTTAATGTAATTTAAATGTAAACAATCGCTTTTCTAATTTTATTTTAATGAAGTTATTTCTAAAGATCTTTTTATTAGTTTATTGTTTTATTTATGTCTTTTTTAAGGTGAGGCATTGAAGTGTTATAATTGCAATTCGGCGATCAGTCCAACCTGTGAAATAGATCCAACATCGGGGGAAGTAGTGTCATGTCTGGATAATAACGTATGTGTATCATATAATATCGGTAAGTATCTAAAATAAATATTCTTATGATTTTTAACACACTGGATCCTATATCCAAAATAATGTACATGGGTAATGTTGCAGGTTGTAGAGGCTTTAGTTTGTTCTATTTTTTATATGTGCTATCATAATAATAAAAAAACTTATTTGAATTTTTTCCAATATTCGAGTTTTTTCTAATTTTCTTCCAGTAACTTGCAAAAACTTGCATATATAATTTTAATTCTAAGCAATTTTATAAAAAAATAGAATCTTTAACATTGTATGTATGTATGATATATATATATGTAGTAAAAAATTTATTGTAATATAATAGTGAATTTTCTTTTTCCAGTCTGTCTTGGCAAAAAAGTTATCATACGTAGCTGCGGTTATCGCGACTTCTGTAAATATACAAATCCTAACGTGATCCAAAATTGTAAAGAATGCGACACAGAACAGTGTAAAAGCTGGATACTAACAAGTACAGCAAGTACCTATAGTACTCGTACAGGTGCAACAAGTACCTATAGTACTCCTACAGTTACAACAACCTATAATACTACCTATAGTACTACTCCTATCAGTTACAACAAGTACCTATAGTACTCCTATTAGTACTATAGCATCATCATACTACAGTATCAACGGAAAGTTGTAAAACAGTTATTACTGTAAAATTGAAATTTTATTTTGAAAGCCACTGATCATAATAAAATGATTTAAAAACTATGTGTTTTGTACATGCCCCTGTCTTCGTATTACACCTTTTGCCAAAATGTAAAACGCACGAAATAATTTATTATTAATTCATCACGCGTAACGTAGTTTATCTCGCCGTTCAATTATTGTGACGAGCATTTTTTATGCAATTCCTGTGTATATTGTTTATAAATTCATATACATAACACATCGCTATAACTTTTATCCCTTGACTTCCGCACATAATGCACAATACTTTAGCATAAAGTTCCTCACGCGTGGCGCGCATGCAATTTTCCATTAATATCGCGTGGAAGAAACGGCGCGGCGGAGTAAAGTCCTTTTTCAACAATAATTTTCAACGAAACTTTCGGCGATCACGGCGAGTCTAATTGAATTAAATCTCTGGTGTGCCCAATAATTTTGTCGCCCGTGCTTTTAAATTTGTTCATTCTTGCGAGACTGACTTTTTTATTCGTAGAAATATTTATGACGTATCACAATAAGTTTATTTTAACACGTATCTATTTGCAGAATATTGTTTCATAGTAATTTCGATTGCTATCACATTGCACGTTAATTTCGATTTTTCATAGAATAAGATAAGATTTACGTTTAAATGGCTTTTATCCCTGGTATATCGTAGATAAATATTTATTTTTATTTTACATTTTTATTAATTTTATATATTTTTCTCATTTTATTTATTTTCTTTGTATAAGAGAGATATGCCAGATAAGAGAGATAAGAGAAAGAAAAGGGAAAAAAAGAGGAGATATATGTGAGGCAAAAGTTCGAAAGATTAAATACATTGAAGAGATATATAACTAATAGCGTAATTGCCTCAGTGAGCATTAAAAATTTGGTAAAATTCAAGATTACCACTGTTTTGAGTGTTGAAAATTATCAATATATTCAATTTTAAATAAATTAATACGACTTTCCCGTAGCTATACCTCTAATAATATGATATTGCCAGTATTATATTTCAGCCGGTCATTGCACTTCGTAACGGAAATTGATCGTAAACGAAAGTCTATTCGAAACGGTTAATTAGTTCCTTGATGCGCGTATAAACTAATTAGCCGGCACAAGGTGAGAGTAATGCAACCATCGTGCGTTCCGCTCATTATTTTGTACTTCGAAACTTAACTACAGGTACAAACATTCGGTTAGATTGCGACTTAGGTACCAGTTTCAATTTAACTGTGCGGTCATATCAGGCATAATATAATTATAATATACTCCAGAATGATAAAATTCTTTAGAATTTTTGGGCTCTTTGCCTTTCGCTATTTCTTGCTACATCAGCAGTGAATTTAATCATGATATAATTAAAAACCGAAGAAATATTTTCTCTTATTCTTCAATTTTAGTAATAGAGGTTGTGAGTGTAACATGGCAGATAAATTGTTTTTTAACTCGAATCGACGATATTTACCCGCTGAACGTTTGTCGCAAACCTCGTCTGTTTAAAACGCCGTCAAACTACAGTATATCACGCATCATTTTAGGTAAGGCTCGCATTTCCGTGACACGTCGTCGACGTCGCGTAGCGTCGACCCTCTAGCAGTCTAGCAAATTGCCAAAGGCCTTCTGTGGCCGTACAACGAGATTCGATTACGGCAAACCTCGTAAACTTCCAATATTACGGCTGAGAAAGCAGTGCTTGCAGTGCCCGTTGGGAGGCAGATTTCCTCGTTTACTTCCTCGATCACTCACCCACTCCTCTCCGAGTTTCCTTATTTCCTTTAGTCTCTCGTCATCGATGAAAGAAAACGTCACGAGAAAGTTTTTTATGTCGCTCACCCCTGATATCTTTAATCTTCATAAAAGCGCCGTCACCGCGGTGTTGAAATGAACGCGGGTCGACTTTTATTACGTCAATTTTTTTCCAATTAAGGGATGCAAAAAAAGCGGCTTTAGCTCTCGCTGTCTTACTTCATCAAGCACGCATATGGGTCTTGCTCTTATTTTTATTTTTATACTTCTCCGTTATTCTAATATTAGGTTGTATATTGCTTTTCCTCAAATGTTTATTACACTATCGCTCACAAAAGCATACGTATGTGGGTGTATATAACGTGTACGTGAGCAATATGTTGCGCTCGGATCCGTGGGTTCGCTAAACCCAAATGACAGTGTGGATCAGTCTTCTCAGCGGGATTATTACGGCGAAACAAAGTCATTTCTGATTAGCGATATCTCGTTTCTGGAGCTCTCAAGATAACGTTCCCTTCTAACGTTTATTATCGTATTATCTCATTATTTTTGGCGTTATCCGAAAATTATGCCGATATAGATAGAAAAATAATCCACGTAGAAGATGTCGATAAAAATCGAACAGCGAGAGATTTAGCGTGGCTTCTTGTAATTGAAACTCTCATTTTGCGTATCCTTAATCCATAGAATTATGCGATATTAATTATGACAAGGTTGCAGTTCAATTTAGATGCATGTCGCTTGATTGATTTCCTTCGTGTATCAGTCGAGAAACGCTGCTGCTAATGCCCACGCATGGCTTGACTCCAATCAGCAAAACCCCGGGGGATTTACCTACCGAATTGCTCAAACTGTACGCAAACCCTAAACGCAATTAACTAACGCGGCTGCAAACCATCACTTATCGGTAGGCGAACGTAACTTTGTCCGCGACGAATCGTTCGACTGGTTACATCGAAGTATATTGTACATGCAACGGCGACGCAACCTTGTTGGCCAGTTTGCTAAAAAAGACTCGAACAGATCTAAGCTCTTGATTGCAAGCGCACCACGATGGTTTCAAAAGCACGAGAGCGACGAAGAGGCGCGGACGATGGACTTGATGGAAACATATTGAGTTGCTACGCGATGCTCTCATGTCGTTTACGGCGTTATTACGGCCATCCCCGACGTGTACGGTAGAATGTATCTCATCTCTCAGTTATGCGTCCGCCGTGCGTATATTACGGCCACGCCAGATTAACCGCGAAGTATCAGAAATTACGACGCGTATGTACGTCAAAGGGAAGCGTCCGCGTCTCGCGAAGGAGCGAATTTTCCTCCGCACGCATCCGTGGTACAGAAACAACGAGCGATCATCTCTACTGCTCGCAAAGTGGCCGCAGGATCGGCTAAGAAATTATGTTATAGGTTTCTTACTTGTATCTCCCGAATACAGATATTTTATGATAAAAAGAGATTTAATTCTTTTCTTTGTAAGAATTCATGATTTTTTAAAAATATGCTTCGTGACAATCGACACTTCATTCTATATGTTTTACATATTGTTTCGTAAGCTTTTGACACACGAAAATCCTTTCTTCAAATTATTAATAATGCTACGTGTATTAGACTAAATTGTATTTTTTTGCGTTTATATATAAATATGTTAAGACAAACATGTTACTCTGCTGCGTTGAATACAAAGCATTGATGTCACGAAGATTCAGATATGCTGACATTGGAAATCTAACACCTCTGAGCAAAACGAATTCTGAAGAGATATTACATTTTCTTCGTGTATCTTTGCTGCCGTGTTGCACGTTGGTCGCATTTATATCTTTCTTGCCAAGCTTTTATTACCTTTTCACCACAATTTCTTCCTCGCGCCCTTTCTACCTCCAATTAGAAAATTTCATTCATTATACTTGCAAATTCTGTCATTTCGCATCCGTTGCAAAATGCCGTATGCGTACATTTTTCCATGCATAAGAGAACAGTTAACGTGGCAGTATATGAGAAGAGAATTTAAATAATAATTCAGAAAATTTCAACATACTCAAATCACTATGTTTTTTTGCAAATTAAAGTAAATTCAAAAGATGCGACTTTTGTTCCTAGAGATATATAGAATATCTTTCTTTCGTATATGAAAATAAATCTTGGATCCATCAGTATACAATTAGGCGGTTCCAATTAGGCCTTTTTCATTGTTCAACGCGCGACATTCGGCGCTGGACAGCGTGCAAACACGGGTCCGCGCGCGGAAACGATTTTAATTGCTTGCCATAATTAAAGGCGTTATTGTTGCCGAGCATCCGGCTCGCGCACCAGTCAGAAATACAAAAACTTACGGCCGCGACGAAAGAGTTGAGGGAACGGAAGCACGGATATTCGTGAATTATTCGCCATTCGCGACGTACAAACAGCACTCGCGTTTTATGATCGCCGTGACGTTGACAAATGACCCTCGCGATTATACTTTCATCATACGTCATAATTGACAAGTGATATCGCGACCAATGAACGATTGGTTAATTAAAAAATATTGTTTAACAATTGTATTTGTGTATATGACCTAACTAAAAACATTATCTTTGTTGCATACTTAAATTTCTGATATTATGCGCCGTACGAAATCGATAATGAAGACTATGAGTTAAAAATTATAATAAAATAAAATAAAAATTTAACGTTATATAAAATCTCATCGGTATAACGTACGTATTTCAATTCACGGTAGTTTAATAAAATACAAGATGATAGCGTACGTAACTGTATTATACATTTGTAATTACAATTTGTCTCGTTTTCCATCGTGAGGCTGAATCCCTGCAAATCCCTTCGCTTCGTATTTCACAAATCTTGAATCGCTTAATGCCTAAAATACGGGACCGCTTAACAGCGCATCGAATCCGCAACACACACGGATAACTGTGATTTATCGGCGAGGGGAGAATCAAACGGATGCAATTCGACGGATGTGCACGGTCTCGTAAATTTTCGGATGGATTTACGATCGAAAACGAAAGCTTTTAGAAGGGACGGAGGATTTGCCACCTACATTACGCGCAGTCCACTTGCATTTTACTAATCAAAGTGTGAATCTCATATACAATGCAGTCGAATTTTAATTATTTTAATTTTTCTGTCGTCGTGTTTTTCTCCTACTCACAATTATAAGCATATAACGCACATGCCTCACACGCAAAATTGGATAAAAATAACGAACCGTCAAATCTACGTACAAACGCTTTCCAATAAATAGCAGTAACGACGAATTGTTCAATTTCATGATGGATAGTCCCGCTTTTGAAAAGATAACGACACGTATCACCGAAAGTGACGTCTTGCAGTCGAGAATTTCGACACCAATAATCGGCAAAAACCAGCAACAGTTTAAAGGAAAAAACCCATATTGCGGAGACAGAAATTCGAAATCTCTGCAAAACCTCTAATTCTAAATTACAAGATAAATTGTGTATTGAAAACGTGTCCAAATTTTATATATTAATTTTATATGCTATATAATATAATATTAAAATTTCGTTATTTGAATATAAAATAAAATTAATTAAAAGTCTTATCTATTCTCTAAACTTTAATTTGTAAAACAACTTCTATTTGTCTGACTATAGGCTACAAGAATTTGTTCATAAAAAGCAGGTGATTTCCGGATCATATGTTGAGGCTGAAAAGCAATTTTTCTGTCGCTTTACAGAATGTCTTCCGTTCTCTCTTTTTGTTATAATAATTATTTCGTTTAATAACAAGAATCGCCGCGGAAACGGCTTTCATTAGCTCTATTCATGATCTTTTACCATGAGTTTCACTGTAGGTTATAAGAGAAGGAAGACAAAAGATGTTTTCAGAGCTCGCGTGCGACGGAACTCTAAGCAGCCAAATCGTGCTGAAAATGTTTCTTTGTATAAAGTTCTTTAGAAGACACTCTTATTCGCGGAAAAATATATAAAAATCAGCGATAAAAATAACTGATTTGTAAAACGAGTACCTCGCGATACGTCATGCTTTCTATAAATTGCAAAGTTATTTCGCCTGCGCTTTGCATTTTATGCAGTCATGGCGCGGACACATTGACCCCAATTTCAAAATACAGAATATTGTCGACTACACAAGATATATAAATTCGACTTACAGACGACCGTAAGAAAGCCAAAGTAGTCTAAAAATATCCCTCTATCGCATTACGTCACGTATGACAGACGAACAATGGAAGGCAAATTCCCTTTGGAGTAACAAAGCTCGCTCAGACAAAGTAGTTGCATCCGCGCAAGCGAATCCGTTCTAAATTCGACTTGTCGCCGGAGGGAACGGAGAGTTGCAATTGCAGTGACATGCGTTTAATCGCGAGTGAACCGCGGGAATCGTACAGAGGAACCGAGAGAAAGTTTCTCGACACTCGGCGCTCCGAAATGCAAGAGGTGCATTTCTCCGAAATGCTGAGAGATTCGCGAATGTTGGGCGCTACGGCGATATAACATAATTGTGCAAGAGCGTCCGCCGTTCTCTCCGAGTACTGGCTTGGTACTCCCTCGCCGTACATACGCATACACGCACGTGGGGGTCACGCGGGGGCCACGCAGGCACGCGTGTGTCCGCGGACCGCGGACGGCGATCGGCCGCAGGCAGCCACGAGCGCGGGAGGTGCACCGAGCGAATGCTCGACGCACGACGAGGACGAGGCGCCTCAGTCGACCGCCACCCTTCGCGACCGACGGTTCTCGTCGCCGTTCTCCATCTCGCCGGAGAGAAGAAGGGGAATCCACCTGCCTGTGCCGGAGTGTTTATCCTCTGCCTCACGCGCGAGCTTCTCAGCTCCGAGATACGACCCACTGAGCGAGATCTAGAGGTGCGCGTGTCACGGTACTCGCGGTGCGTGCGAATCGCGGAGGGTGGACCGTGGGGGTGCGTGCGTAGCGGTGCATTTGGATCTCCCTCTCCCTTTTTCTCTTTCCCTCTGTCCTCATAAGAGTGCGAGTTATCATGAGTCACTATCGAGTTTGAGGAATCTTCCCACGTCGCTGAGAAAGAAACGCTGAATTCCAGAGGAAGAATTTGACCAGCATTCCCGATTAGTCGCTTCCAACCGTGAGTATTACGTTAAATAATAACACTGTTTTCATTTTCCATCACGCTTTGATTGTAGTAAGCGAAAACTGACAGCATTCTTTATGTTGAACATATGCTTTAGTTCCGATACGCCCTGGTACCAATTCTATTTGCGATTGAATTTTCCCGACAACATAAATATAGCGTTCTTATAAACAAATAACAATTTTCGAAAATAAAATGGGAAAATAAAAGATTTTCATATTGCATCGTGCAATACGTGCGCTGTTACATATTTTAAAACTGTGCTGCTATTGCTACTGTAACACGAAAATGTGGAGCGATGGAAATGGCAATTGTTATGAGATTTTGGATTCAGCGAAAAAGCTATTAGAAAACGTTATAAGCTAATTATTATGCGCACATACATTGTTAACATATTGAGTAATTATATTTTTGGAGCAATGTCTTGGTTTATTTATTAAAAGCTGCAGTTTCAATCAGATAATTACGTTTCCGATAGAGATATTATTTTTGATTTGCCATTATTTTGACGTTATCTCATTAACATGGTTCATTAATATGTGATATGAAGTGATTTAAAATAAATTTATCGAGGAATTATTGCATGTAATAATTAGACTAATTAGAACGGTTCGATTATGACATGCAACAGAATATAAACACATGTGGTCGAATATAATAAATATTATAATTTATAGTGGCAATTAACGAATGCTTCAAATCGTCATCCAATTCGTATATTAATAAATATATATACTATAAAGTATAAACAATGCAATATCACGTACGGAAAGCCACATTACGCATCACACAGCAAAAGTGTAATGAGCATATTGATAATTAATACTTATTAACAATCATTGATCTACCTCTCTGATAATGGGAAATAATTTAATGACGCGCGTCAAAATTTTGTACATATTTCATTACATAAAACATTCGAAGAATAAATCAAATTTTACGTGCAAATCCATGAGTTCGTTTAATCACTAACGTTATCTGTTAATTGTCTGCGTCGAGCCAGGTTGAAACCACGAAGGAAATGACACGTTGCGTGTCGCCGCGAACGGAAGAAACGAGTTTCGAAAATGAGAGCGCGCAATCGTTTCCGCGAGACACTCGGTCGTTAAATTCCGAGTGTCTCAGATCTTAAAATGGAAAAACTGCATGTATCTGTGTACGGATTACGTTGAACATCCGTTGGCGGTAGGGAAGGAAATCCGATGACATCGACCGATTATCTCTCCGTTCGTGGAATAGATGCAACAGCAATTCGCACAAAGACGTTCCAGCTGTGACGTCATGTATAACATTCGAATCTTTTGGCCACTGTGTCTTTCCCGCGTTTGCATAAGTTAACAGGTTCCCTCCGTATCTCAGATTCTTGTGATTTCGCGTGTAAATAGAATTCCGTCGAATCTTCAAAGATATGGATATTTCACACGTTTCTCATCGTCCTTCCAAATTAAAATTTTGGACAATATTCTTTCAAAGGTAGCGTGATTATTTGAGCACAGTCGAGACTTCGTCTCAGAAAGCGACAAATTTTCTTTATTTTTTTTTCTCCGAATTCACGAGCGCGGTCATCAATGTCTTATCACGCGATGATTTCAGTGCTTGCGAGCATCTGGCGCCGTGCCCTCTTCCGAATTAGTTTCACCCACTCGTGAGCGAAAAGCCCGGAGCATCACGGAATCGAAGGTATTCGATCCGTCGAGCTCGTTAGAGACGCGAAATCTGCATTCGCACGCGCGTTACTTTGCGCTAACGAGGATAACGAAGCGTGCGTTAACGGGGAACTAACGACCGCCATCTCGCGCCGGCGCCCGTGAAGATGATTGCACACAGGTGCACCGGCGAAGATACGTGTTTCTTTCATCCCCCCGCGCCGCGCCGAAACCATCGTTACGTCGAGGAAACTTCGCGCGAGATCGAGGATCAGTCTCCGCTAAGACGAGGGTAATTACTTCACGAAATGACTGCGCTTCTCGATATCGTCCTTATCTTGGAAACTCCAAATGTAACTTTTATCACCAACGTTTCGAGATAATAGAGACTGAGTTGTAAGTCATAAAACGCGAGGCCAAGCGAATAAATTTTACGTTAAAAATCTAAATGGTGCATTTCCCGCAGAGGTCTCATCCATTTCTATATTTCATCTCGCGAATGACGTAGTTTCTTAACTTCAAACACGAATTGAAAGTTCCCACTAACTTTAAAGCGCGATTAAATTACCCGAGTCGTAATTACATATTAACGCAAATGTGCATATCAAAGGGCGCGCGCATAAGAGCGAGCGGTTTCACATGGAACGTTGAACTCTCGTTCAGCCAATATCGTTATACCTCGCTGACTAGGAAGCAATTCTTTCGCGTTAGTACACGGCCGGAGTACAAATGCGGACGTGTCTACATGCGAGCAACGCGGTCCACGTACGGAAAAGACGGAACCGGATTTGGTATCGCTAGCCTTTCGCGATCGGCTCGTCGTGCTTTCTTTCTTCCGTTGTTTCTTCACCGTCGACCGCATCCCGGCGCGTGTGAGAAAACGGATATCCTATATACGGACGGTCCAGAGACGCGTGTGAAATATCGCGAGCGCGAACGCGCGCGAGAGAAAAGTTTTCCGTGAAAAGTATTTCCGCGCGATCGCGAAGCAGATCGGATTTGTTTCCTTCCTTCCTTCCTTCTTTTCTGCGGACTCGACAAAAGGCTATGTGACGCAATACGTTTCCTCATTTTTACAGATATACGTATAAGATGCGTGGAACGTGGCAAAATTGCAATTTCGCGGCATAAATTATTACAATAAATTACTATGTGGGAGTGTACACATATATATTATCTCCACAGATTCGACAAAAAAAATGACTTGGTTTGATGACTGGGAAACTTGATTACACTTCCAGTTTCTCTACTTGTTGCCCTTAATTTCATCTTAGGCGAACGATGAGAACGCTTGAATAGCATTTGCCTATAAAAATTCGCTACGACACGGTTTTCATAGCGCTTGACAAATATTCCACGCTTAATTCCATTAAAAATGACGCGTATGTTCCCGAGCGAGCGTAACAAACACGGCGATCGCGTGCCGCCGCAGAAGTCCATTAATTGCACCTCTCTGTTTCAATTCCGCGCGCCGCGAGAGGCTGAAATCGAGCGGGCGCGCTCTTTGCACAGCCGTCGCTCGTTTTTCGCTCGTAAATCTTAACCGCGGCTATTTCGCCGCATGAACGAACGAGCGAGCGAGCACGAATTTCGCAACTCGCGCTACAATTAAATCGTACCGAAGAAAAACACTATCCGCGAATAGATACCGACGAATGGTCGCACCGAACGGATAGAAAAATATCAAGGGAAAAGAACGGGAAGCCGGTAGGATAGAGAAAGAGAGAGAAAGAGATCGCAGCGTATCCTGAATTGTTAGGCCAATTCAACGCAATTACGACGGTATGGGAGAAACCGCGGGTCCGCGTTTCCCGCTGCTGGCTGGCCGTAACGCGCACGCGAGAAATCGCCGGATGGTAGCGGGCGGCAGGGGCGAAAAAAAGGAGCGCAGTGTGGCAATAATTATTCCCAGCCTTCCCCGATCCCGTGTGTACGCGCCCGCGCCCATGTATCTCGGGGTATCCTTATCAGAGCCAATCGGCATTAACACGCTCGCGTAATCGGAACGTGTCCGTGCGATTCGTCGCGATTTAATTATTTCGCTCGCGGTTCCCACGGTAAAATCGGGGACGAAATCGCACGTTGCTACTCGCGGTTTCGTGTCGATGCGCCCGATTTTGCGAAACGCATCCGAGATATATACGCTTCTAGATCCCTCGCATCGGATACGACGAGCTTGAGAAATATTTTTCGAAACGCATCTAGATTCTCTCTCTCTCTCTCTCTCTCTCTCTCTCTCTCTCTTTCGGAATATACGAGAAAGAATAAAGTCCGCGCGTGATTTTTACGCGCTCGTATCCGTTTTTGTTGTTCATGCCGTCCCGTTTATTTTCTAGTCGCGTCGCGTTAACAAGAGCGCCGGACATTGACAGGACCTACGTCGCTGAAAATAATAGGAAAGCGCCGAAATCGGTGCGCGAGAGTTCAGCACCATACATTTCATTTGCAAACAAAAACTCACGGGACACTCGGGATTTACCGCTTTTTGCTAGGATTTCTCCTCGGCTTCGGCACGGTCGCGTCCGTTATCGGCACCGATAACGATCGGGAGTCGACGTTTATCCCGAGTCGAATTTATTGCGGCACTCGATCGAACGTAACCGAGTCGCCGGTCTCCGTGCGGCTTTCGCATATTTGCGTTCACAATCCTGCGAGAGAGCTGGAGCATAAGTCATGACGACCGGTCGCGGCCGAGCGTGGATCGATCGAGGCTCCCGATACGCGTGCAGAGGCGTGAAAAACCGCGATTGCGAAAAGGAAGCAAAAGACAGGTGGAGGAGCGAGCGAGGCGAGAAAGCGATGCGCGCGGAAGCGCGAAATCGTATCGTATCGCGGATAAGCCGCCGGTGTGCTTGCCTCCAACACACATGGAAATTAGATCATCGTGTCACGCACACGTACGCGGCCGGGATCAGCAATTCCGTCTCGCCGAATCGGAAATCGCGTCCCGAGACGCTATTCTATGATCGCTATCGAGGCGCGAATTGCCAAGCAGAGAGGAAAGTCGAGACGAAAGTTGACACGAAACAAGTAGAAAATAAAAAAAAATGCTAGAAAGTAATAATTTTAATACTTTTTCCTCAATATAATAGCTATCGATATCATATCTTTAAAGAAGAAGAATGTCTGTGTGATCAAGTTTCCGATTTCGAAAATTAATATCTTTCCAGACGAGATTACTGCTTGTCTATCGACGTATTATTGTCACCTTTGTTGTCTCTGCGAACGATTACGTTTGGATTGCTCCATGAAATATGGATGACATCGAACAAACTTTCTGTAACGTAACAGTTCCATGTCGCGATGACTAGACGAGTCGAGAAGTAATCGCAGGATGATTGAGCTATC